TATGGAGAGGGCTATGCTCGGGGTTTCTCTGCGTGATAAACTCAGAAATGAGGATATTCGCAGTGAACCAGAGTAACCGACATAGCCCAACGGATGAGTAAGCTGAAGTGGCAATGGGTCGGCCATATAGCTCGAAGAACCGATAACCGATGGAGAAAAACGGTTCTCGAGTGGCAGCCCTATACCGGTAGGCGTTGTGTAGGGCGACCCCCACTAGATGGAGTGACAACCTGGTAAGACATGCAGGAAGTCGATGGATGCAGGTGGCTCAGGACCATGCTTTGTGGCATTACTAAGTGGAGGCCTATGTTCACCAGTGGACTTAATGGCTGTAATGATGATGATGCTTACTGCAGAAGCAAATCTACGGAAACATCCCTGATCAGTGTTATTGGCAGGGTTGAAAAACCACTGGAGGATAAATAACTAGCTCTCTGTGGCTTTCTAGATATTGAGGGCGCCTTCGATGGTAGCCCACATCACTGCTGATTCTAAAAATGTTGCCTGACATCTAAAAATAGTTGACCTCACAATCATCAGGTAAGTGAAGTCGATGCTCTCAAACAGAAAGGCAAAAATAGCGTTGATTCAAACTTCGATTGAAGTTGCAACTACAAGAGGCTGCCCTTAAGGAGGTGTTTTGTCACCCCTTCATTGGACTCTTGCGGTTGACCAACTATTGTACAATATGGCAGACCTTCGCTTCGACACATTAGGTTACGCTGATGACATTGTAGTCATTGCGAGTGGCTTTTGCCAAAGTACTTTATCGTTAATTATACAAAGAGCCCTAAACACCATGAATAACTGGTGTAGGGAAAGTTTATAAGTTAATGCTGATAAAACTGTTATATACCCTTTACTAAAAAGAGACGGTTGGACAAATTTGTCACACCAATACTCAATGTTAAAGAAGTTCTATTCTCCACTGAAGTTGTAGGTACTTGGGCGTAACAATCGACTAAAAACTAACGTGGAACTTCCACCTTATCAACGTATGCCATAAGGCAAAAATTGCTTTAGGTACGTGCAGTCGGGAACAACTGGGGCTTGCGTCCCAGTATGGTCCTATGGCTGTACAGCTGCAAAGTGAGGCCGATTCTCACATACGCCTCTATTGTCTGGTGTAACAAGGCCAACCAAAAGACAACTGTGGACAGACTAATTAGTCTACAAAGGACTGCCAGCTTAATGACAACTGGAGTATGCGATCATCGCCTGGAGCTCTTAATGCACTTCTATGATTAAGCCCCTTGACATTCATCTAGACAAGGATGCGAAGGCTAGTTTGTATAGGATTAACGCACACGGGCTTGAGCTTGCTCCCCTACTAATTCAGATCCATGAAAAGATCGGATACCACGAAACACAAAAAATAGAGAATCGTTTGGAATATTTATTTTCTAGTAATTTATAGATTATATTTAAATATATTTTATAGCGGTACAAATAGGACAAATCCCTTTCATGAACTTTGTTCTTCAAGCAGTAGAAGTGGCTTCAAACCCGGTCTTACCCCTTGATGGACAATTTTTCATCATGCATATAAAAAAAGTCTGTCTTGTCTTCGCACTCGTTGAAAACAGAAACCGTGTAGTTTAAAAAAATCATTCTCAGAGCTAAACTACGTTTAAGAAATTTGATTTATACGGATGTCAAGAAAATTAAGTTTTTGTCAGACCCTTTCAGCTGGTCGAAAATCCGTCCGATATTACCCCAACGCACCAATTTTGTTGTTGCTATGTTGCTAATAGCTGAACTAAGTGCGAACTTACTAGGCGGTCAACTGGAAATATCAATTTCCTCAATTCGACCTGAAGCAGGCTGTTTATTAAGTTCTAAAACAATTTCAGAAATAAGAGAAGTATTGTGCCCAGCAGTAGGTACTATTAGACATTTACTTATTTTAAGGTTCTTTTTAAATTACTACGTTTTACTATATAGAGCTACTTTTCTGCCGAGCTATCCAGGTAGGGTTCACCCTCTTACCAATTTTTGTAACTGTGAGTTTGCACTAACGCGATTTTTACAAAAAAAAAAAACATGTTTTAAACACCGTTTTCTGTCAATGTATCAAAAAGCGTTTGCATAGTCAAAGAACATGTTGTAGTGAAATATGTTTGACAGTTTATTGTACATGACATATTTTAACTATATTATATCTTTATAACTAGAGAAACAAACTGCTTGATAATTTTGTAGAAATATTGTCATGTCGAAAGATAAGTTTGAATATCTGTTGAAAATTTTAAATAGTTTTGTGAGTGCGAATGCCACAATCAACAAAACATGTTGTGTGATTTATTTTGTTGAAAACATTACGTGTTGGATGTTTCTCAGTGCAAACGTACTGTAAAGCAACACTTTTATGTTCCTGTTTAAACAGAACTACATTTACAAGGTGTGAGGTTATTTTCTTGGTCCCCCAGGGTGGCAACGAACGTGCATCACTTTGTTTGAAGTGGTGTATATTAAAAAAAAATACTATTTTTTCGTTTTGCAACTAGCTATTTTGCAAGTACTTCATACTGCAATGTTATGAATCTATGACATTTGATATAAAAGTCTATATGCAGATTTACAGCTTTATAGTTGTGTGTTGCACCAGCGACTGATAGATACAGCAACGATTCCTTCGTCAACGACCAGAGAAAAGTGCTGCCTGTCTTACCCTAAATGTACTAAACACCCCATGAGATCAAGTTGTATTATGGCGCAGTGGCTTAGCAATGAGTTGAAGCGCTAAGGGCCGTGCGTTCGAATCCCGTACGGAAGTATTTGTATTGCCTACAAATATGCCAGTTTCGGGGTCTGGATTTTAGTCCTTGTGAAATTCATGTACGTAAACAGCTCCCACGATGTAGAAAATCCTAATGCGTAGGTAACGTTTTGCTTAAAAGAAAAAATAAATAAATTATCATGACAGATGAAGAGTTATTTTCTGATTGAGAGCAAATGTTAGAACAAAACTATTGATGGATGAAGCTATTTACGAAGTCTTCAATTAAAATTAAAATGAATACGCGAAATTTTACCAAATAATGTATATAATAATGTATAATTTACATTACACGAAATCAATAAAATTTTACTCAATTAATTTGATTAAATCTACGATTACAAAAATAAATGTCCTAATCGTATTTGAAAATATATAAACAATAATTCATCTACACGTTATCATTTAATTATTTTATAAATTTGATTCATACAATTTTATTGTATACTAAAAGAGAATATTTACAATGAACATGTAATGGAAGACTTACAGTTAATTGACTTCGACTGAATTTACTTAAATTAGTCTTAAATAATGTCATGTTAATTAGCTACCGTGAAATGATCCCATTGTTTAGCACATGACAAACTAAACTATAGTAAATGATGCGTTCTAAATGAAAAAAATGAAATAAAATTTACAATATTCTTAATAAACAGTTTGACATATAAATGATTAGTTATTTTTCAACAATCATTTGAGCACCGCGAAGCATCAACATCAGCACAAAAATATTGTTATATTAATGAAAATTAGATTTATCACATTTAATTAAATTCACGTAATATTTTACAGGACATTTTCATTTAAACAACTAACCGGTTATAATTGTAGTTAATAGATAAGTTTGTCTATTTTAACCTATTCGCTGTCCCGTGTACTACATATTATCATTGCTATTGTCTTACTAATTGTGTTTGAAAATCGCAAATTGAAAGAAAGATTTAATGAACACCTTTATAGAGCATCAAAAACGGCACCATAATTAATAATAATGAAGGTTGAATCATTGCTTTTGTATATAAGTTCTTCTTCTTATACCTATACTTCATTTTAAAAAGATCTTTAACTTTAATATACGATTTAAACAAAGTATTTTATACAGTATTTGCAAAGTTATCTAAATATATTATTATGTACACAACGTATAATCTTTAATAGGGTATAAATATGTCAATATTACTCTGGTAACGTCATTTTGGTATTCCGGTCACCCTGTTACGGAAAGCTTAAAAGCGTGCATGTATACAATACAATACAAGATATATATTTATTATACAAGTTTATTATTAAATATGTACTGTACTAATATGTGTGTATATAATTACTATGTAAAAATATTTTCATTATTCTAAATGAAACAGTATGACTGAATAAATATATGATTTTTACATACATATAATTGTTGTATTAAGGTGTTGAATCGTCGGATGTTTTATAAACTTAAATTGACTGCGACAAAATAATTTATAGTAGGATGTCCTTACATATAACGACTACCATTGGCAAGCGTTGTAGCTTATTTTAATGGCATAACAGCATTCAGCTGTTGAAACTTTAACTTAATGAGAAAATAGTTTCAATTTCTAAAATATGCGCTTTACAGACTAAATAATAGATGTACATATACATTGCTCAAAAAGCAATATAGTCAACAAATATTTTTCGGATTTCCTTTTAACTTTAGTAGTACCTTTTACTTTAAATGTAGTAAAGTTTGTTTAGTCTGTAGTTCGCCTTTAAATAACAAAGATATTCGATTAACTACGGTTAGATTAAGTAATAAAAATTACAATAACTCGACTAATTGAATGACTAAACAAGTATGTAACTTATAATCGTATAGCAACAAATAGGAGATATAGTTTTCTCGCTTACTGCGTTATGCTTCTTCCACTCTTATTTCTGATCTGGTGACAGACACACAATGCTAAAGTGAAACTAAAAACTAGAGAATTTTTAACTCTCTATATTATTACTATAAAAATGCCAGTTAAAGATTAAGCACAAAAATAATCATTTAATTTAAAATGATGTAATGCTCAATTTTAATCCAAGCAAAAAAATAACAAAGCATTTATTTAATATCTATTTCCGCGAATTTGAAATTCTTATTTGAACGATTTTACTGGAAAATTAATATGTTTAGAGCATAGTGTGTCGTACCCAGCGGAATAAAAGCCATAGTGTATTTTCGAGTCCACTTAAATCTGGACGAGGGTTAGAAGGTGGCGTCCCATCCAGAAAGGTCGTCCGGCGGCGGCTCGTCGGCGTCGGGCGGGTACTGGTCGAAGTTGTGCGTGTCCAGCGGGGACTTCACCACGGGCGTGATGGGCGGCTCCAGGGTACGCTGCGCCAGGCCTTCCCAGTTGAAGCCGTCGAACCACCTGAAGAGGAAAAAGACATTTGTTATGAAAATACATAATGATGCCAATGTTCAATTTTTCAAGCTCTTTTCTGTAACATTAGAGTAAGGATGAGCTACCATTACCGTTATCCTAACAACCTATTAAAATCCATTGCAGAGTCCGGTAAATTACCCTGTATAGCATAGTAGTACGTAAATTACCCTGTATAGCATAATAGTAGTATATACTTCAATTTTAGTGACAAAATTACTACTAATTTGAATTCTACACTTTTGTTTTTGGAGAAATTTATATGAAAATGTTTGGAAATATGTATATTTTTATGTTTTATATGTTTCCATTCGTTACTCGTTCCAAAATATTAAAATATTAAAAAATTAAAAAAAACAATAATAATATTTTATCTGTGTGACATTTAGAACAATATTTCAAAAATATTTATGTGTGAATTTGAAATAAATACAACGTCAAGTTATTTGAAATATGTAAGAAAACTATTTTTACTTACATTTTACACTAAAAATAAATGAGAATTTGAAAAATAACACATTTATGACCCAACCGCCAAAATGGGCCTTCCAGATTTTGAAGTACTTTTGGCAATTTACTTTTCACTTTTTATACCACAAATTATATATCTACGTGTTCACTATATTACAAGGAATATAAAAAAGTATAATACTTTCGTTTTTAGTCCAGACACAAATATAAAATTCTATAAAAAAGACGGAGCACCTTCATCAAAACGACACGTGGAACGCCGAAAGTTCAGAGTGATTTCTTTTTTTTTTTCTAAGAAACATTGCCAGGTTATGGTTTAAAATAAAAGAGCATATCTTTGTCTTTGATACTATTATCTATTGCATAGTGCCTTTGGTTTTGTTTAAAACGAAAAAATAGTTTTTTCATAGGTACACAATTTTACATAATTCTGATCTAATTAGTGCTCTTCTGGAGCGAACGTAAGGTAGGTATTGTACGATCTAAAGTGCGCACCGCTTGGCGAACGGGATAGGTCTGGATTGTTTCGTAGGGGGATATTTGCCACAGCTGCCACGCTTGGCAAGCGGATTAGGAAGTAGTGTAAGAACATCCACTACCCGATATGATCCCGTTGGTATCGTAAGCGGCGACAGAGGGACACAAATCAGGAGAAGACGAGCTAATAATTCATCTATTGATCCGTAGTTACTGCAGCATGTAGCATTTGCAGCATATATATCTGCATATAAACGAGGAATTATACTGGATGACCTTTTTTATCGTCTGGAAAAAATAGGGTGTGACATATGAACGGAATAGAAGCCTATGACACTGATATTTTACAAAAATTAAAAACAAAAATTTTGAATTAAACGTCTGAAAAAATATTTTAACATTACTTTGCTCTTTGTCCATAAGTCTATGACAATGCGATGTGACAAGGTCAAAGATACCTACGATTTTTTTTATTTTATTGCCGTTCGCATAGTAGGGTGGATATTATTTGAATTTCGATAAATTTAAATTAATTTATTCATTAAAATACCAGTGCCATAGGCTTCTACTCCATTCACATGTTATACCCTATTTCTTTCCAGACGGTAAAAAAGGTCATCCAGTATATCTGCATTTGCAGAAACCTCTACATTTGATAGGCAGTTTGCCGAACACAGTATCAAACGGTTCGAACCTTAAGGGGCTATAGTACCTCAGCTCAAATTCTAATTTCCCCCCCACTTCCCTGCGAGTCATATGCCATGTACCGACATGTTTGTAATCACTAATACCGTAAGTAGATAGGTCGTTAGATACTTATTTCACAAGGTATATCATATTTGTGCCAACCCAGTCGCTTCTTATTTTTATTACGTTTATTTCCCACCTCAATTTTACGTCGTTCTGTTGCGTAATGTGTATTCTGATCGTAATCGACACAGCTTTCCCGTTCGAAAGCCTAAGCGAGACTGATCGGGCGGCAGATAACAAGCTTCAAGACGCCGATAGTTTAGGTAGTTTCTTTTACAGTGAAAATAATGGTAATTTAAAAAATAAATAAAAAACACAAGCCCTGCTTTATAGTTGGTTCAGTTAGTATGAAAAGTTTCATGATCTAATTAAAAGATAAGTATATTTAATGAATACCAGCGGCTTATTGTTCAGTTTGGAGGTAACTTTGGACTGTTTTTCTATCGAGAAAATTCTACGGAATCGTGTTTTCGTCTAACATAGTACTTAGCATTAATCCTCACCTTTACCATATATTTATTTCGAAATGATTGCTGCAATATTTTCGGCATATCGGAGGATCTTGATAAGCCATTTGAGGTAGTATTTTTATTATTTCCCCTTAAACCTTATAGGCCTCGTATTTTATCAAAAATTTAGCGTAGATTGCTTGCCACCATCCGGAGCCGCAAGAGACAAAACTATTTAAATGACATTACGATTATAATATAAGGAGTATTCCACTCAAAAGACTAGAAAAATTAATCTCAATATGTAAAAATCAATTGCTGCACGTTAGTCTCGCTAAAACTGAGAAACGACTTGAACGATTTTGATGGATTTGTGTGTGTGAGTAGGTCCCTGGATGACTTCGGTTCACAATTTAATCCGATAGGTGGCGCCGTTGTCGAGATCCAGAAACCCGTCCGAAGCCGGGGCGAATCGCTAGTATTTACTATGTTCGATATAGTGTATAGAAGAATTAAGGCCTCGACTTCAGGATGTAAAATTATTTTGTTCTTTTTAACATAACATAAACACTCACGCCTGTCACCCAGAGGGGTAGGCAGAGACTACGGACTTCCATTTGGCACGATCCTGACATACCTCTTTCGCCTTCTTTACAACCATATACATGCTCGTCGGTTAAGGGTACTTCTAACGTGGCCCATTTTCAAAATATCGCCAATTTGGTCGATAAACTTTCTTCTAGGGCGTCCCTTCCCGAGTCTGCCGTTCACATCTGCCATATAAATTTGCTTTGTCACTCTTTCCTCATTCATTCTTTCTACATGACCAAACCACCGAAGCATTCCTTTCTTAATCCTGGTCACAACATCATCTTGCATACCACATTTATGCGCAATAATCTATCTATCTATCAAAATAACAAAATATCACGCAATTTATTTATATTTATTCTATTCTATATTATATTATATATTTATTCTTTTTAGTTCTTTGAATTCGGCTTTTACTATTTTATTAAAAGTTATTTTTTAAAGCAACAGTATTCAGCAAGAGCTACGTATTTTACATCGACATTTGTCAAACAAAACCACTTTTCTCTTAGCCGAGTCTAAAAATAATAGCAAAATGAAATGGGATGATAGCTTTTCGATTTTAACTGTGGTTAAATTTAAAATAATGAATAATCGCTGGCAAGTCCCGAATTCGAATCCGCTAGTCGACTACTATCGGAACACACTATTAACACAATCATTTTATTCTTACTTGGAATTGGTTGACGGAAGTATTTTTATTGTTTCTGATATTCTTAAAAATAAAGTTTGTTACGAATAAGAGAAAGTCCTCCTCTCGCGTGAAGCCGTTGCGTAATGTAACACACTGCAGCTATATTATGGTCAGAACACGAACACGTCGGCTTGACCAGGAAAGGATCACGCTCTCACAGAGTACCAGCGTAAAATAGCAGCTTAATACCGATGTGTTTCGTATGGCGAGTGTAGTAGTGTAGCATAGTGTAAAGTGCATTCTATCTTAGTTCTCAGGGGTGACACAACACATCTACACTTGGTTCTTTATCGATGATAGATGTGAGTCTATGTGCCACAGAATCCATTTAATCAGGTGAACATTTGTCACCCCCGTTATATGTAAAATGTTCTATAACTTACTTGTGCTTCTGAATCTCAGTTATGCCTCCTCGCTGGTAACCAAGTCGCTCAGCTGGGTTGTCTCTGCAGAGTTTCTTGATCAGGTTCGCCGCGTTACGTGTGATGCATCGCGGGAACTCTACCGCATCAATTCCTTTCAGGATCTTGTTGTACGTCTTCATTGGATCAGCGCCCGTAAATGGTGGAGAACCGGTGAGAAGTTCAAACATCAAAACACCTGTTGAAGATGATAATTTTCTGGTGAGAAAATTTATAAACCCTTTTGATAACTGAGGAATGTATAAAATTTTATCACTGAAATAGGCTGTCAGGGCATTTTTTCTGCTAATTCCTGCTGAAACCTTCATTATTTTCGAAACATTTTTGTGATTTTGGTTTTTAAAACCCATCACTTACACTGTTGCTAAATAAACTTGGCTTTTATTTGGACAACTTCGTCGCGTGTCAAGTTTTATAGCAATTATATTAAATATAGAAAATTTAATTCATTTAAAAAATTTATCTTTATGCGCTACCATACCTAATAACATAAACTTTGTCAAAATATTACTTGCACTTCCGTGAAGGTTTACAAGGCATAGTTGGACACGGTAGGTGGCGCTCTTGTCGAATCCTGTTATCACCCTCCGTTTGTTACCGAACAGTTTATTATAGTTTAGTTAACCTGTTAACCTACTAATATTACAACCCATCACAAGCCCATGGTTAACATGGCCTATGTCCCCATAGATCGCCATTAAGCACGGTCCCGAACCACCTTCATCCATCAACTGCCTGCGTGTTACATCAGGTCGTCACTGCATCTAGTGAAGACTAGTCGATTATTATTCAAATTTATTATATTAGACCCTTGAGAGATTTACTGAGACATTTATCTCATAGTATAACTAATACAAGGGCGACACTGAAAGATTTTAGAACTGGCCACTTGTAAACGAAATAATAAAAAAATAAGTTCAAATTTTGAAAATGGAACTTTTTGCCGTGTTTTGTGATTTGGCGAGCCAATTGAAAATTGTCTGTGTCTCGTCAGCACGAATTTAACGCGAGAAAATTTTCGTACAATTATTGTTTATGACTTTCGATATCATTTAAGTCAACAAGATTGGCAGTGGGATCCTTCTTCACCATGACAACGCCTCGTCGCACAGCGCCAAGCAAACAATCGACTATTTGGCGACGTTAGTCGTAAAATTACCGGGTCACGCGCTCATTAGCCCTAACCACGCATTGCGATTTTTATTTATTTTCGAAAATAAAAGAAAAACTTCGAAGAAGACGTTTTATGGGTACGCCGAAGAAGTAGTGGGTGAGTTTTCAAAGAAGTGTCGAAGAGACCCCTAAGGCCGAGTGGTCAAAGTACTTTTCTCAGTGGTTCCATCGGATGCAGCGATGTATTCATGTAAATGGACACTATTTTAAAAAGATATAATAAAACTAATAACTTGCTAGTTTGTTCAGTTTTTGATTTTCTAAGAACTTTCAGTGTCACCGTCGTAAAGCCTTGGGATAGCCATCATTTACTTTTTAAATAGATAAATTTTAATTGCATTCTTTAATACCACAACCTGTGGTTATATAGTTTTAAGAGATTTCTGCATTAAAAGACAATAAAACGAGATTTTGACTATGTTAATATATATCAACTATAAATAAATATGGTTGTTCATTAGAAGTAGAGTGAGGAGATAACTCAGAGGATAATAAAGTTACTTCCTTCAAAGTTTTACAGAACGCGAACTAACAGAGTTCCTCGCCTGTACCAATGAAATCGCTAGTTGCAATAAGTACTAATTTAGCTAATGCTTGATGGCGAAGGGAAATCTGGAAGAAACCTGTACTGTCTGTGGGAAAAAAATCGTAGGCATAAAATCCCGATAGCACCAGCCAAAACGCCTTTCAGAAATAAGAGAACATCTGTGTCTAGAAGTGAGATGTGAATCAACGTTTTATCACTGTAATAGAGTAAATTAACCAAATTTGCTCTATAGAAATGTTAAGGCTTTCTTGGCTTTAATCAGCTTGTTACTTCATCTACTGGTGTATATTAGGCCAAAGATAAAAGAGGAATTGTTAATCATTGTTATGCGAATGGGCGATCTTGTACGAGATTACCCTCCACCCCTTTCCCTTCCGCTGTCCGGCGTGGCATACCGACAATGGTCTGAGTGTTCTACAAAGTTTTTTTTATAGGAGATAGGGCAAACAGGCACGCGGCTAATCTGATGTTAAGTGACTACCGTCGCCCAAGAAAAACTGCAACATCAGGGGAATTGCAGATGCGTTGCCGGCCTTTTAAAAAGGAGTAGGCTCCTTTCTTGAAGGTCCCTAAAATGGTAGCGGTCCGGAAAAATCTCTGGTGGTAGTCAATTCCACAAGTTTTGCGAGGAAGAAAACTTCTTGAGGTGAGGTGTTCTACAATGGTAATAAGATGTGGTTGTACCGCCAAATATCAGGGACTATGTCATCCCACGGGATGATATGGGAGTATGTTCCGAAACGTTTCCAGTATACTGCCGAATACAAATGACGTCATTAATTGACGCCATACTGTACTAGTGTGCCGCTGCCATATTGTGTCGGATATCCGACCATATTAAAACAATTTTTAATTGTATTGTAGGTGAATAAAGCATGCCAGAATTTGTTTTTATTTATTCAAATACAAAAAATTATGGAATAATTGCCGGTATCTCCATTAGGAGAATATAATGATTTTTGGAGCACAAAATGACAAAATAATCGTCAATACTTTTCCAATATGGCGCCAATGTCGTCATGTACTATCCTATGTTTTGGAACGAATCACCAGTATGGTATCGATTCGTGGCGTTATTTGCATTGGACAGTACCCTGGGTTCTATTTTGTAACATACCCATGGAGTAGTGGATATTCTTGCATTCTTCCACAAGATGAGTTGTTTTTTTCTACCGCAACAGTTTTAGCATAATGTTAATAGCGTTGTCAATGTACTACAAACGAGTCTATAGAGTGTTTATCGACTAAAACAGAATATTTCTTACCCAAGGACCAATAGTCCGCGCTAATATCGTGTCCCCTGTTCATGATGACTTCCGGCGCCACATACTCGGGCGTACCGCAGAACGTCCATGTTTTGCGACTAGCTTGTAACTTCTTAGAGAATCCAAAGTCCACTAGCTTCACGTAACCTTTTGAGTCCAATAGCAAGTTCTCTGGCTTGAGATCCCTGTAAAATGTTAGCTTTTAATTTAACAAATCGTTTAATCGATCGTAACAAATTTTATTTAAAAATATATTTAAACAGACAATAAATAGACTCAAAATTTAATTATAATTATCAACCCGTTTTATAATAATTTAGATTCGTTTTGTTCAGTTTATTATTATCTTCTGGTAAAAAAATTCGAAAGAAGTATTAATCGGGCAATTTGGGAAAGTACCAATTCTGTTAACACATATTTAAAGTTTAACACATGTTTCTGTTGAAATTATTAAACTCTTGACAATTTTCGTGTTATCACCAAATAATATCACTTTCAGATTTAAATTATAAATAAAAATGTGGAGGTCATTGAAGTAATATGTATATAAAGTTCATAAGTACATTACACTTCTATGCTGTAGGTCCATATTATTAATTTGCTAGTATGACCAGGTATTAACTGCGTATTCTGGCAAAAGCCCTGTTGTCTTAAAAAGCACATGTCCATCCTGGGACTAAGCAATTCAAGGATGTGCCGGTTCTGTTCCTTAACGGAAGAAACACCCTTGCACATCCTGATTGTGGTACCCTAAATAGTACATATTTTTCCAGATGAGTATTACGTATGCGCAATACGTAATACTCACCTGGAAAAATATGTACTTCGCCCAGAAGAAGTGAATTTGCTCACAGCTAAGCAACTCCTATTCATTCAAGCTATGTCTTGAACTTAGCAGTGAACTATAGCCATAGCAGCGATCATAAAAGATCTTATAGATCGCAGTGATACTGGTTTTTCTAGACCTGCATAGCTGCTTGTACAAAAAGTAAAAAGTATTACTAGTGTGGACACAATGAAAGTTACCTATAAATAATATTCCTTGAGTGTAAATAGTGGAAAGCTTCAACTACACATGCGGTATAGAACCTTGTCGTGGCGTCGTCGAATTGTCCTGAAATTATAAAAAAGGTTCACTTAGATTTTTTTAATCACTGCAGAAATATGTGTTTTGAAAAGAGTTTGCTTCAGTTCCGCAATCTTTTAAATTTCGTTACAATTCCATATAAAATATTCGAAAGCTGCATAATAACTTTGTAACGTTGTTGTAAACTGTAAAAAAAAACGACTTATGCATAGTAACGTTTTCCTTTGGGTAGTAGGCAGAGATTATCGATCGACAAGAGACTGATCCTGACGCATCGCTTTGGCTTACTTTTTAGTTAGTAGTTATTGTAGGCCTACAGTTTCATTCACGTTACTCTTGGTTAACGCGGGAAAGTCTCAGAATAGTTTAGGGCAATGGTGGTTTAGAGAAAGGTTTATTAAGGTCATGTAGTTCTTAGAGTTACGCCACCGAGGACCAATAGTGGGATAGGGAACTGTGACCATATTTTTACGGACTTGGCACGTGAATGATTTGATTTAGATTATGTTATTTTAAAAATTGAAAAGTTTTTTTAAATCTTTTTTGAATACACTATAAGTGTGCTTGGAAAATACGTCCTTCACTTACCATCTTAGTAATTTAGCCCATTTGTAGTCGTTAAAGCAGTTAAATCGCGAGCTCAATATGCTCACAGTGACAAGATGGTCTGTTCTATGTTCACCGTAATTGTTGATGAGATAATATGATAATACATAAATAATACCCTAAATATATATTAGAGAATCGATTATTGACCAAAATATTTATATCCTTCTAGATCAGTCTCCTAAACATTATGATTTTAAGCGAACTATATTGTTATTTTATTTTATCAAAGACTTCCTTACATATATATATATATACATATATACAAAATATCATAGTATACATACAAGTCTTTTAGATCTTTGTCAACATTGGATTTATGTTTATTAAATTAATTTTAATGAATAATTTAATGAAGGAAAAAACTTATTAAAGCATTCATTATGCAATTTCGCATCGAATAAAATTAATTTGGAGTCGATATCATTATTTATTCTCGTGACAGGCGATTCAAAAAAATCTCTAATGTACGAATCGTCCGAAAGTACACACTTAAGGCACACATAAACAGACACACAGAAATCCTTTCGTAAACAGATAGAATAGAAACACAACATAAATGTTTATACATTTGGGCTTTTTAAATATCTAACATTTTGCCATAACCTCTAAATAAAATTTTTTACACTCACCTCTATCTCTCAAAATCGTCCATAGTTCTCCGCCCAGGCAAGTCTCCATGAGCATGTACAAATATTTCCGATCTTTGAACGTCTTGTACAGTTTTACAATAAATTCGCAGTTCATTTCTGACATGATCTCCTTCTCGGACATTATGTGTTGCTGCTGCCTAGTCTCCACGATCTGCGCCTTCTTCATCTGTTTCAACGCAAATGAACGACTGGAGTCGCCCTGTATTTGGACTAGTTCTACTCGACCGAAGCCGCCAATACCGAGGGTGGCGATGATGCGGAGATCTGAGAGACGTAAGTTGGCAAATTCTTCATTTAGCCTGAAATCAAGCCAAAATTTAAATTAAAAAAAATACAATCGATCAATAAAATTAATTTATACTACAAACTACAAACGAAATAAATATTATAATATACAATACAAGTCTACTAAACTAATTAATTTTTTTGTTAGCACTAGTAGAATAATTTATAACAGTAAACGAGAGGTAACTCAAATTTCACTTTGCATCATACATTGATCAATAGGGCTAGAACTTAAAGAAATAGGTACGTGAGAGATTTGTTTATGCTATAATACGAATTTGGTTTTTGAGTTTGGTCGTTTGTGATTGTCCGCATGTCTGGCAGGATATCCTAGATGCTAGACTACCTCTGTTGTTATTCTTATTAGGCTTTTTTACATCGGTCACGGGTAGATTTGTGCGAACGTCTCTTTTGACGCATTCTTTTAGAACTATTTTAGATTAATTAGAAATTGTTGTGTTCGAAAATCAACCGGGAGAGCATCACAAAATAATACACAAGTATTATATCACTTTAAAAATAGAAGAGCCGTATAATTTTCGGATTTTAAATCTTTATGCATTTGTTATTGGGGTAAATTTGTTTACAAAACAAGATTTGAATATATAAAATCTTAATTTGCCCTTAATGAATTTAATTCAAATTGGCAATGATAATCATAGACAAAGGAATAAAGAAACGATAAAAGAAGAAAAGTGATAATCGTTGATGCATTATTTATAGTTTATACACATAATATTTTAGCGAATATTATTTTCTTTTTTAGCGAATATTGTTTTCTTTCGTTTAATGCATTAAATATGCTTACTATTTCTTTGGCACACATATTGTACGCAAAGTAAACGAGATTGCCAATTCATATTATACTCGTGATATTTCATGAACAGTAAGTACACGCAATAATTAAAATTTAGTGGCAGGTGCAGGCAGCACATCTATCATAAATAAATTTTGGTTATGTTTTAGAATAGGAATTACCATAGAGAATTTTCCTAAGGCTTATAAAAACATTGACTGTGAAGTATCATATCAACCAATCATCATATTATTATGTTCTAAAACACTGAGTTCACAATGAACGCGGCAAAATCGCGGGAATAGATTATTATGACTGTGGTGGCTCTTATTGAAGAAAAAACTTAATTCTCCATGTCAAAGACCAAAGGGGAAAGTTAATAGCCCTCTTCGGATAGTATACTGTGACCATTTTGAAATTTCATCACTTATTAAGAGACAGTGAAAGTGTAAAAATCTATCATTATATATTGAGAAATTCAAATGTTGTTAACTTACCGTGTTGAAACGAATCCGATTGTGTGCATTAAAGAGAAATATAAATGATTAGTGCAAGACCAAGAAATTTAAGGCTACGACCAAATGTGAAATGTATGTTTTGCAACAAAATTAAGATGTAGATGTACGCTAACACAATAGTGTTGTTGTTGCATTCAAACGAAATCAATTGTAGTGCGTCTATGTCTGTGGTTATGCGTATCAAACGCGATTTAGTTTCGGTTTTAGTGTGAACTTGACAGAGAAATATTGCAGGTTGTGACGATCGGACACGGCACAGTGACTTGTGAATAAATTATTGTCACAGTAAAACAGATAGAAAATTGTGTTTTATGGTTATAAAAATTGTTGGTGCATAAAAATTGTTTTGTAAACTATAAACATCGTCAAAATTTCGTTGTCTGAGTTGATGTACTAATAAACTATAAATCCGCATTGAAAGATAAATTTTAAATGTGGCAAAGATAATCTTTAAATGTTTATAGTAAAGAAAATTAAAGGCATAGGTTTCTTCAATCAGTAGATTGTAGTTTTGGAACCACAAATATAAAACACATGTGAAACCAATTAACATTAAAAACCTTTATCACATACTATTTTTAATTGTACACATAATTAATTCGACGCACTTTTTCTAGTCATATGCAGCAATGCGTCGGTATCACGAAAATCAATTCGATTTTATTGGACTTTACATATATTATTTATTCTATGACAAATTAAAATGCCCATGATTGTTGATGAATTTACGAATTATGAAATTAGGCCACATTATAAACATTTAAATTGGGTTTGAATACGAACCGTCGACTAAGTAGACAGTCAATTAGAAACAAAAATTCTCCAGGAGATAAAACAGTTTGGTTACTCTCACCAATAATTACATACCTATGTCGGCTGTCGCCTTCGTCTTTGTATTTGGTACGAATCTCGTCTAAAGTCGAGATCAGCTGGTTGAAGGTCTCGCGGTCGATGACAAGACACGTGGTGCCTTCAGGCGAATCGCAAATTATGTTTGCCGTTCGAAGGTCATCCCTGAAATAAAATAATTACAATAAGTAAAATAAAACTTGTACTTTTAAAAGGAATATAGTGTGTCATAAATAAATATTAAGGATATAAATAGTGCTTACCCTTGCAATGCCTTTTCCCCGAAGAAATCACCCTTTGTAAGCGTTCTTATGAATTTCTCATCGTTACTGTTCGGTGGTTTTTGTGTGACTTTGACCTGAAAACAAATATATCAAGCAATTTAAATATAGACAGTAAAGAAGACTGTGAAAGGGCTGTGTCTATAACTTCACTTATGCTTCAAATTAATGATAGTTTGCAACCTTTTGGAAACATAAAATTGCAATGTATGACCGGAAATCCATTATAAGTACTCGTATATTGCATAAAATAGGATTCTAATCTTTTGTTAATATTAGTATGTAATCCTTTAAAACTAAACCATATTTAAAAAAAAACATAAGAAAGTTACGCCTTAAGACCTTTATAGTACACATTAGAAAGAGCAGACTTCACATCTGCGGTACTAGGAAAGTTGGCGTTCAAGTGTATCGGTATTACTCAGCCCGCTTTCCATAAAGTGGACCAGCAACTTGCCGCTTCAGTAAAAAAACTCCGAGCGTAAGAAGTATCTCTTTAGCCTGAGACATCTCTAAAAGAAAGCGCAATTAATATCGCATTTTAATAAAGCAAAACCAGTGGAACTTTTTTTTTAAAGGAATAAGTGTGACAAACAGGCATAGAGTCCACTTGATGGTAAGTAGATGCTGTGGCCCATAGACATCTATCTACATTTATCTTCGATATTAAGAATCAAAATGCAAAATGCGTTATGCATTTTGATGCAAAATCATGCGTCACCTTTGATTAATAAGATGGAATGCCTTATTTCCAGTAAAAAGTGTCTCCGGTTTTCTACACTCACCATACTAAACGCAACACTACTGCTATGTCACGTTCGTCTTTACCCAGTCGAACCGACCCCCCTTCCGTGCTAGAACTATAATATAGCTGCAGCGTGGCGCTACTACGTATTTTATAATTATATTTATAATTCAAAAAATCAAATTTAATATTTTAAATACCTTAGCAACATTTTCACAAAATAAGTTCATTGTTTGAAAATTCGTTTTATTTTAATCTATAAGCTTTTCTTTAAACTTTAGACAGTCAAGTTTAATCTATAAACTGTAAACTATTCAATGAAACTAACGACACAGTAAAGAAATGTGTAGTTAACGTAAGACTTTTTCGCATCGTCATCGTTATAGCCCATTAAAGTTCACTGCTGTAGAACACAGGCCTTCTCTTGAGACAATCTCATAAAAGGTTTTATCTGCCGTAGTTCCTAGGTTTCAAAGCTTGCCAACATGGCAACCAAATTTTTTAGTAATTTGGGTTGTTATAAGTAATACAATAAGATCGCAAATAGGCCAGATACAATAAGATCGGAAATATGCCAGAATTTCGTGTCAGAGACCAATTAACCATACCTGAAAATGGTAACTTAGGTTTTGTACAAATGTTAACTCCAGCTGCCAGCAGCCAGCTAATGCTACTGCTCATTGCATTACTATGCTCTGACACTAGGCCACTCAGTCTTTCCATAATATAAAACTACTTTGGTTGATGATGATGACTCAAGTTGCAAACGATTTTGTTTGTTTTGTTGTAAAGAATTCCACTTTTATTATTATAAAATTACAAATTTTTACCATTAGAAACACTTAAAATGCATATTAATGCAAATACAAGTCATTGTTACAAATAAAACCATGGATTGATAACGTATTTTTTTTTAATTCGCATCACACCCTTTCTAAATATTAAATGTATATATTAAGCAAATAATGTTTCCAGGAAATCTCAACGGACCCCTAACAAGTTGTCAAGCCCACCAAACATCTAAGATAACATAAAAAACGAAAACGATAAACAACGGTGATATAGCAACGGAAGTGGTATGAGATAACCCTACTCGAAGCTGTAGTTACTTAACGTAAGGCTGGACAGATAACAAAAACCAAAAAAACTTAAAGCTACACCTGAATAAATCGCTGAAGACTTTGAATTGCAAGTTCTTTTAGATGCAGTTACGATTATATAACACATTTCGTTCCAAGATATCGAATATTAAATAAGCTTCGTAGAAATCGTAATGATTTGGCAAATTCACGATTTCTCCTCGTAAAGTATCAAATGTTATTTGTTTATGTAAACAGATTTAATAAACGGATAATATATTTGTAAGTATTTTAATTTAGCGTATTGCATTATAAAATAGTACCCGGTTGACCGAGCTTTGCTCGGTATTTTTCGCTCGGTTTTTTTTTAATTCGTGTGCTTTGGAAATTATATTTAGATACAAATTACTATAATACTGATGAAATACGAATAATATTTTTTGATCGTAGCGACATAATAGAAAAAACTGAACTGGTTATTTGAATAAAAAATCATGAGTGCAATTAGTTTAATTAAAATTTTCGTGTTTTTAAAAAAATACTAAAAAAAAAGGGCACGAAAAAAATAGATTTTCTCCAAAAAAGAATGGAACTTGAAAAAAAAAAAGTCGGTCGGTCTGGGCTCGAACCACGGTATTACGATTTTGAGACCGCCCTATATAGCTACTACTTGTAATTACCCCAATACCTTTTATTTTTTTTTAGCTATTTCTTGTAGGAGCGTTTGAGATTCCGATTATTTTTTTTTTTTATATATATATATATATATATATATATATATATATATACAAGAATTGCTCGTTCAAAGGTATAGGATATTTTGTTAAAACATGCAAGTAGCTTTTTGTACCATTTTCTGCAGGAAGTATCGGTCCGTCAAAATGCAAAGTTTTTTTATAGAATAAGGGTGACAAACGAGCACACAGTCCACCTGATAGTAAGTGGATGGAGAGGCCAATCGATATCTACACTTATCTTCAATTAAAAATTTAAATGCAGATGCATTGCCAGCCCTGAGGACTGAGATAGAATGCCTCGTTTCCAGTAAAAGGTGTCTCTGGTTCTCTACACTCACCATACGAACACTACAGCATTAATCTGCCATTTTACGCTGCAATTCTGTGAGAGCGTGGTCCTACCCTGGTCGAGCCGACCCATTTGTGCTGAGTTAACCGTTCAGTGAGGAAACTCAGCCAGTATGATAGTTTTTTTTTATTCCTATAAATACTGCACACATATCATGTTATGTAAATAAAAGAATCAATAAATTAATACAAATAAAGAAGAAGTAAACTTGATACTGTTACGTCTATTAATGAAATTTACAGGCTTTCATCATACCTTGAATTTTACTCAGTCAAAAAAAAATGTGGTAATTCGAGAAAAACTTGTTAAAAGCAATTAGTAAACGCGGCCGATTCAACGCTCTGTTTGATATTCTGACAGTACCTAAATAAACATTCTAAGTGAGTTACATAAGTGACTAGCGATTCGCACAGGCTTCTCACAGGGTGATTTTTAGGTCTCAACAACAGCGCCACTTACAGGGTCCAAATGTGAAACTATCTAGGGATCTATTCAAACACACACACACACAAAAATTCATCAAAATTGGGGGCGTATTATTTTAATTTCGAGTTTTAAATTGAGTACCTGGATGACCGAGCTTTCCTCGGTATTTTTTTTTTATTTTGGAAATCGTGTGTTTTGGAAATTATATTTAGATACAAATTACATACCGATGAAACTTGAATAATATTTTTTGATCTTATTGACATATTAGAAAAAACTGAACTGGTTATTTGAATAAAAAATTTTTTTTTTTTTTTTTTTTTTTTTTTTTTTTTTTTTTTTTTTTGGGTTTGGGGGGGGGGGTGTTTTTTGGTTTTTTTTTTTTTTTGTTTTTTTTTTTTTTTTAATTTTTTTTTATTTTTTTTTTTTTATTTTATAAAGGTTTTTTTTTTTTTTTTGTCCCCCCTTTTTATGAGTGCAATTAGTTTAATTTAAATTTTCGTATTTTTAAAAAGATACAAAAAAGGGCTCGAAATAACAGATTTTCTCACAAGAGAACGGAACTTGCAAAAAAAAAAAGGAATAAAAGTCGAACCGAACTATGATTTCACGACGGCACGATATCCACTAGAGCTATTACGATTAGCAATACCGTGTCAAACTTTACCTTCTTATATTGTAGCAGTTTTTCATTGCCTGAAAACACGGACAAAACGACATTTTCTAAAAAATTTATCTTAGCTAGATTGATTTATTGCCTCCGAAACCCTATATTTTATGAAAATTCGAGCCGTTTCCGAGATCTGATATATATATATATGTACAAAAAATCCTCGTTTAAAGGTACAGGATTAATTTATTAAGGTCAAAATTTTTGGTATTTTCTTGCACCGAAAGTTTATTTTAAATTAGTAGTATTTATTGATAGATCAATTTCATAATATGTTAATGTAAAAGAATATATTGCAAAATATCAGTGCCATAGGCTTCTATTCCGTTACCTGTTACACCTATTTAGTTTAGATAAAAAAGATAATATTAGGTAGTATCTTCTTTTTGCCTCGACTATGGATCAAATTAGAGAAACAATGAGTGTAAATTGAAAATAGAGGAATGACAAAGGATCTGATGTACATTATTTTGATAAGCAAAAGAATGCATGTCCTGTATCATATCTAAATAAAGTACGAAAGAATTATGATGAATGATGATGAATATAAAATAAAGCATAAAATGACACACTCTTCTTATAAACGAATTATCATTTTGATATACACTTTCACGTAGTAAGTCTGCGTGAAAAATGTCTTTAATTTCTTCACCGATTTCTACCAGCGACAAATTTCTAAAACAAAACATACAGGCAACGAGGCGCTAAATTAATCGGATCTAACGGCGTTATTAGACAAGATCAAAGGTAGACTAAATTGATAGTGTTTGTCGACAATTTTGGCCGCGGCCCGGCTTAGTTCGAACCCAAGTTTTTGAATAACTATTAAACGCAGGCGTCAAAATATATATATATGTAACGTAACTAACATAAATAAAAGTACAAATTAATTGCTGTTAATGAGCGATATTTATATTGTAAAAATTAATAAAATTTTAAAAAGTATAACATTGAAAAAATTCAAGGCAAATAATTTCCCACACGGATGTACTAAAACTCTGGCCTCGGAGCAGTCTGCAATGGTACAAGCCCCACGCTCGCCGTACTTTGACCTTGTAGGTAGGTACAATAGACTGACTCTTTTGCCCCACAGCCTCCACACCGTGCTTGTTTAAAAATTTAGTCACACGTCCGATCCGCTTTGTATAACCAGCCATGTTTACCATGCGTCGCACACATAAAATTACGTATTCGTGCGATGAGACAATAAACTGTCTGTAGAAAGTTTTCCAAAATTGCAACTGGTTCTTGAACCAATATAGTTTTTTTTTAGTATCGATCGTTACAAATTACAAAACAAAGCTACGGAATTGAAATTCATTTGGTAGTTGATATCTCTAATAATTTTAAAGGGAGGAAAATGAAATCTGCTGTTTGTGATCATATCCCAGACGACCCCCGCTATTACATCTGATTTGATAGAACACAAATCTTCGTGAAACAAAATCGATCTCTACCAAGGATGATACGTGAGGCTATTGAAATTAAAAATCATCTTAATTTTACTAGAGAAGGAGGCTGGGTACTACCACCTGCTTGGGATCCTGTAATTAATAAAATCAAAACTAAAACCAAGCATACCACCGCCAGACTTCAACACATAATAATTTCATTCTGCGTAGATCGGACTAAAAGTATTAGAAAGCTGAAGGTACTCCGGGTTAACTCTGACGTCGGGACGTCAATCACCTCAGTCTCCCGTGGCCATGGGTGCCGCAAAGAAAGAAATCATCGAATCGAATATCTAATATTAAAAAGAAATATTTGCACGAAGTCAATGCTTATTCCGTTTTGAAATTGATTTAAGCAGGCCTATATTACCTATATTTTTTGATACGGCGGTATACCATCTCGTTTACGGCAAACGTGAAATACCTAGGGCAGTAGTGTCAAATTTACGAGACCACAGGTAAGGCGTCAATTCGCTAAACCTTTATCTCTTCACTTGAAGTGACCCAAGTCTAGCAGTGGACTTTTATGGGCTGTTGTTGTTTATGATGATGTAGACGATAACAAATAGCTTGGACATAGTAGTCAACATTACAGCCACATATTGCATAGTGAAAGTAAAGCCCGTATAAAAGAATCTTAATACTAAAAAAACAGCAATGTTATTTATGACTGGCTTGAAAGTAAAACAGATTTGAAAAAGTATTGTACTAAAAAGTTTTATTATTAAGATCTAGTTTATTTTTATTTAAGATTTTGGCATAATTCGCATAAACTGTCTGCTCCAAATAGCGTCTACTAGTTAGACTACAGTTGGCCTATTTTTTAAAGAATACCAACAAGTTCCGCGGCAGCTCAGGGGCTTAAAGCTCGCCGCAATTGTCATAGTATGCGAGCAACCTCGGTTCGAATCCCGCCGGCACCAATTAATTTTTTATTGCAATTTTAAGTTCTGATTTACCACTTGCTCGGCGTTGAAAACATCGACCATATGAGGAAGCCTCTCGTATGAGGAATAAATTATTCCGCGGACATGTTGTGAAGTCCGCCAACACGTACTGCGTTGCCTAAATATGTAAGTTAATTGATATAACCAACTACATAAAAATTCCAAATAGTGATGAAAATATCGCATTTTGTGTTCAGTAATAATTCAGCGGACGGAAAATATCTCACAAAATAATAAAACATATTTGGAAAACAAAACATATTCGATTTAGTTGCCTCCAATTCTCTATGCAGAAACATGAGTAACAATTAATTTAAATGCCAAGGTAAACCGGTCGCACAATCACCGTACCTTTGAGCGGACATTAAGTACATATATTACGTATTTTCGCAAGCATTATGTCGCTATAACAGTTAAGGTTAATAAATTCATAATGCTCAGTATTAAGTAAAAGTACCTCGAAGCATTTATAAATAATTACATTGAGCATCGTCAACGCCGAGGAGTTGATTATATATATATCTATCTAATAGCACTATGCGGTAGAAAGACAAGCCGGATATTCTAGAATTGGGCCAAGTAAAACTTGTTAATCGTTAACATCTTTTTTATTACAAATAATTATAAAATATTATCGAAAAATACTTTAGAATTTTTGCGTGACAACTTTTAAACTATTTTGACCCTGTTTATGTATATTAGATTACAGAATACACCATAACAAAAGTTACTATGTCAAAAGTCAAGTAATTAATTTATGCAAGAAACACGCATATAATGTTCAATGTTTAGAAAAAATAGGGGCGTGGCATATGTCGGCGAAGTCGACAGTGTTGAAAGTTAATCCGCGGGATGAAAGTGAAATTGTTAACTTTCATGTTTAAAGAACATCTTCGCAAACATCAGACGCATAACGTCGACAAACATAGCACCATCCAAATAAATAAAGTGCACGATTGTTTCATCGCAATGGCTAATAATACAACAATAAGTTGTAATAATGAGTCTGATATAGTTGTCATTAAATGTTAATTTGTGGAATTTTGTTGAGCTCATTTCTCTTATTTAAAAGAAAACGTAACGTTCATTTCGGTAAGAAACTGGGAAAGCATAATAATATACTTATTTCGAAATCATGAATTTATTACCGCAGATTCGAGATGACTTTTACATTTTTAACGAATCTACAGAATACGATTATTTTGGCTTCATTGCTACAAGTAAGTTGTATTTTTACCAATGGCAATAAAGTCGTAATTTCAAGCGATAAAAAATATTAGTGACGAAAAATATGTAATGGTATTTGATAATAGATTATTTACGCACATTGACTATTCCGGTTCGCTCTAATTTTCGTTAATAAATTAGAGTCAAGTAGCAAAATGCATTGAAATCTTATTCATAAATAAGTAAGAATAGTTATTTTTTATTTAACAAACATACCTGTCCTTTAGAGATTATGAAGAATGTGTCACCTCTCGCTCCTTGTCTAATGATATAATCGCCATTTTGGTAATGTGTCTCCTCTAGCACATCTGAGATCTTAATTAACGTGTCTTCAGGTAAGTCTTTGAAGATTGGAACACTGTGGACAAAATAATGAAAATTTAGTTCGATCTTATAAGAATTATAAAGTTATTTACGTAATGTTGATCCTAGTAAATTTGAAAAAAAATTTCGGCTGCACATGACTATGGCAGCAATGGAGACGTTCATCATACTACCAAGTTACTGTTTAAATATATTTAGATCCGAAAAAAAAAACAAATAAAAATCCTGTTTACCATTGTTTGTGTCTATAATACTTTTCTAGATATTCTTTAAATAAAACACAATACAATACAATGCAAAACAGTACTCTCTATTGCACACCAAGAAAACAAATTACATACTAAAAACAAACATAGAGAGAAAACAAAAGCTGGTGTCATTATTATAATACAACAATTCGTTCTTAACAACCTACAAGAAGTACTGTAATAAACTAAAATATGAACTAAGAAGACAAAATAGGTACTTAAAATAACAGCCTAGTGACCATAAAAGAACTGAAAGAAAGAAAAGAGAAAGCAAAAGTAAGAGGGAACGAGAACAAATAGTTCCTTAACTTAAAATAATATATTGTATGAGCTCGTTTAATAGACAACAGTAAGGCGTTCCATAGGCTAGACTCCAAGAACTGCAAAAATTGTTCAAAAATTAAAGTAGTGCAAAGGAGATCATGAAAGGAGCAAAGGAGTTGAAAACATTCTTTGAGAGAGGGTTGACTTAAATATTAAATAAAACAAATACATTCGAATACTAGGTATAAAATAAATACAGGTTATGAAAGAAAAAATGCAGTTGATTGTAGTGATTGTAATGAGTTGGCTGTATTACTGAGAATATTATTAAATGTAACAAAATATATTAAAATGTTTAAGCGAAAAGATTCGAAGCTTTTCTTTTTTAATTCATAATAAAAAGCTAAAGATAGCCTAGGTTAATATGAAATAAGGATATTAAACATCTAAGTCATGAAGTGGTAGGATGCTGCTAAGCACTCGAAACGTCGGAGATCCGTAGAAGTTAGTTTATATAACTTCATTTGCATATTTAAAAAAAGGTAACAGCATACATAAACACTCACGCCTGTCACCCAGAGAGGTAGGCAGAGACTACAGACTTCCATTTAGCACGATCGTGACATACCTCTCTCGCCTCTTCCACATCCATATACCTACGCATACATGCTCGTCGGTTAAGGGTAACTACTCTTAATTTGGCCCATTTTTAGTATATCGCCAATTTGGGCGACAAACTTCCGCCTAGGACGTCCCTTTCCGACTCTTCCATTCACTTCTGCAACATATATTTGCTTTGTCAGTCTTTCCGCATTCATTCTTTCTACATGACCAAACCACCGAAGCATTCCTTTCTTAATCCTGGTGACTGCATCATCTTGCAAACCACACTCTTCTTTTATCGCCCAGTTTCTTCTCTTCTTTCTTCTGTCACTCAGATTCAGCCCTAACATACTCCTTAGCGACCCCATTTCTACTGCATTTATTCTACTCTCGTGCTTCTTCTACCACACCCAACTTTCACTACCATATGTTAAAGTAGGGACTAATACAGCATTGTGAATTGCCATACGTGCCTTTTTTGACACATTATGACTTTTCACAATAGAGTGTAGAGCCCCATTTACTTTATTTCCTGCATTAGGTAACAAACGAGCATACAATCCATTTGATGATTTACCATCCTGTGGCAACGCGCTACATTTACATCTATAACCGATTAAGAATCAAAATGCAAATGTGCTGTTACCCATGAGGACTAAGATGGAATGCCTTGTTTTCAGTAAATATCCGAACAAAAATATTCTCGGTTCTCTACACTCACCATACAAAACAGCATCATTTAGAGAAATAGAAAAATAATTATATACTGTAATTATTAATAATTACAGTGTACAGTGTGTTTCTGTATTTTGATAAGTGACTAACAGTACGTTTGCACTGTGAGAAACATCCAACACGTAATGTTTTGAAACAAATCGCATAAAATAAATCACACAACATGTTTTGTTGATGACGGCGTTCGCACTCACAAAAACTGTGTAAAATTTTCAATAGATATTCAAACTTATCTTTCAACGTGACAATATTTCTAAAAATTTGCTTTCAAACATTTTGTTTCTGTAGTTATAAACATAATATAATACACTTAGTTAAAATATGTAATGTACAATAAACTGTCAAACATATTACACTACAACATGTTCTTTGACTATGCAAACGTTTTTTGATACATTGACAGAAAACAGTGTTTAAAACATGTTTTTTTTTGTGAAAATCGCGTCAGTGCAAACCCACGGTAAAATAGTATTTTTCACATAAAAGAAATTGTTGTGACAAATGAACACAGTCAACGTGATGAAGGTAATACGGCTTTTAGACACTAATAACATGATCAATTAAGAATCAAAATACAAATGCGTTGTCACCCTTGAGGACTAAGATGGAATGCCTCATTTCCAGTAATAGTTCTCTACACGAAACACGACAGTACGCCGCCGCGTACTGCTACGCCGAAATTCTGTGAGAGCGTGGTCCTTCCTCAGTCATGGCCGACCCATTCGCGCTACAATCATAGAAATACACGAGTAGCTGCAGCGCAGCGTGGCTTTACCACGTAACATTTTTTCTAAAGTTAAAATCAGAATAAGATTTGCACGCCATAAATGACTTATTTTAATGGTTCAATAATAATTATAATATAACATCTCATGAACATTATGTAATGCAACTTGTTTATTTTTAAACACAGGCAATTTGTCTTTATTTGCCTTTACGTGCCCTAACATGTTTATTGAGCCTTATTCAATTAAGCTTTAATATAGGTAGATAATTCTTATATCTATTTTCTATCCATTTAATATCAATCATTGATATTAAAGTGAATGTCGATTTTATACTGCACATTATCTTAAGCACTTGACATTTAAAACTTCCTTAATACCTTAATGATATAATTTCAAATAAAACAATTGGAACAATTTAAGGTCAGTTGACGGTCCAAGTACGTTCGGACTAAAGAGAATGTCATTTATTAACAAGATTTTTAAGTTTTATCGATCTTAAATAAAACTCTAGACGAATCGGTAGCACAGAGGTTAAACGATTGTAGTTTATGTATCACGTTACAGGAGTAAATCATACTATAGGGATAACAACGTATACAAAAACAGGCAGCAAGTTAAATAAAGATTTAAGCGATTATTTATAAATACCTGATATTTCTAGAACTTTACACCAGTCATTCTTCAATCTTTATACTTGAGGGGTGAAAAATAAGTTAAACAGGATAATATCGGTTATATACAATGAGTGATTAGTATTCGTATAAATACTGATGATTTTTTTACCGCATTGAAAAAAAATACGGTGTAACAACAGGTGAACAAAATAAGAACCCTATGTCACTGATATTTTACATTTTTTTTTCTTACATTAACATAGTTACTATGAAATTGATCTATCAATAATATTCTACTTTATTTCGTGCGTATTATTTTAATTTCGATAGTTTTTAATTGATTTATTTATTTGGTTCAAAATTTTTGTTTTTATTTTTTTAGTACCGAAAGTTTATTTCAAATTAGTAGGATTTGTTGATAAATCAATTTCATAACACGTTAATGTAAAATAAAAAAATATCACTGCTAAGGCTTTCCGTTCACCGTTCCGTTCAAAAATTCCGTTCACCTGTAAGGTGTTACCAGGTCTAGCGTATCAAATTTCGGGACGAAAGGTAAAAATAATCGCGAATTTGGTTTTCATATTGAGACAGCTTCAATGGCTACAAAATACGGGTTTTTTGTAGCCTTTTCGTAATTTTATAATTATTGTTCGGGTCTGCTCTTAAAAACGAATAATTTTTCATCCAAAAACCTGAAAACTACACTTATTTAGTCAATATTTTATTGTTTGAGGCAAATGAAAACATTTTTGAACGAATTGTTTTTTTGTAGTCTGAATTTTTTAAAACACTTATTGTAATATAACTATGTTTACAACTTTTACGTTCATTAGTAAATATATTTTAATGTTCAAGCTAATCATTGTAATCATTTTTTCTATCAAAATTATGGTTAGTGAAAAATCAGGACATGTCACCAGACCTTTGAAAATCGGGATGTCCCGCACAAATCGGGACACCTGGCAACTCTACCTGTAACACCCTATTTTTTTCCAGACGGCAAAAAAAATCATTCAGTACTTATAAGAAATCATATTGGGATGTTGTTAAAATAATAATGTCCTTCAGATCGAATTTCGGTCACGGCGGCCAGTCTGAACGGAGGCTTGCCCTCTGCACAGGACAGGATTAAATCAGAAGTAGGTCTGTATGATAATTTTGGTTTATAGTTCCTTTTTTTACTGTTATAAACATTGTATAATATTCCGTTTTGCAAAAAGTGTGAATTATACAATAGTGTATAATTTACTGCACATTATTACGCGATCTAATATAATCAATACGACAAACAGCTATGAGCAGTTTTAGTGGTCGGCATTCTGGCCCGTTGAGTCATTTCATGGCCTTTGAACTCAAACCAAAATGCTTGTTTGTGTGACGTGCAAATTTTGTTTTCAAGTTTGGCAGTGTATCTCTGATCTATTAACATAACCGTTATGACATACTAAATATGTAAACATAGCCATTGAGATTTCGTAAATGCTTACGGAACTTATTTCTAATGTGTGATAAAAATATACAGCCTATTAAAGTTCACTGCTGCACATAGGCCTCCCCTATAGGCCTATGTATATTATAAGGGGGTTATCTGCCATAGTTGCCACGCTTGGAAAATGCTATTTTTTTATATTTTAGTCGTAATTAACACGTGGTAGAGCCATGCTGCAGTTATATTAGTAATATAGTTGTAGCACAGCCTCGTTGGTCTAGTGGTTGTAGTAGTGCGACTGTTGATCATGAGGTCCTGGGTTCGAATCCTGGGTCGGGCCAAAAAATCAATTATTGAGTTTTTCTGTCAAAAAATTCTCAGTAGCTGCCTGGAATCAGGAAGTTAACGAT